ATAAATGTTCTAAGAAAAGCTCCAAGCAGGTCTGGCCTAAGAAGAACCCCCAGGGCTTTGGACCAAGTGCTACTCCTGGGTTATTCCTTTAAAGCTGAGGACCCCTGGGATGGCCGCTGACACAGAGAAGGAAGCTAGCACCCAGAGGGGGCCCTGACTTGCCCAAGACCACACAGCCACCAACTGGCAGCATGCTTCTCTCCCCGGGAATCTTCCAGAGTTTGCTTTGGAGGAACAATTCGAAGTGCAGATCTCTCCACCCGTATCTTGTGCGGGGGAAGGGGGACACGTTCTGACCTTGGGGAGTCAAAGATTTAGGAACCCACTTCAGATTGGACCTCTCCCCGCCTCCGTTTGTGACATCCGGAGAAGAGGGACTCAGCCGGGTCGGCCTGCTCGGGCAGCCGGGAGATGAAGTGAGCTGGCCCGGGGGGGCGCATGGGAATCCAGGAAGCCTGGCGCCCTCGCTCTGCATGTGGGCCCTGGAGTTAGGGCCCCAGATGTGAACTTCCTCTGTCACTCAGGTGACCCCACAAGAGGTCAAAAGCGACTCACATGGGTGTTCTCCCTTTTGCTCTAGACTATAAAGACGCTTCCGGCCTGGACTCTATTTTTAGTCTCCTGATCTTATTTTTAAATAATTGGCATATTTTCTAGTATCTTTTTTTTTTTCTTTTTAATCTACTTTGCCCCAGCCTCAGGCCCTTGTCATTATCAGGATCCCATCTTGGGTGGTGCTAAAATCGCAGAGTTCTGCTGCATTCCAGAGGCAAGAAACCTCCTGTGGAAGGGCTCCTGTCTCCATGATTCTCCCTGACATCTTCCCCTCTTTCTCCTTCTGCAGATTCTTTAGTAGAATTTTGCACCTTCCTGCTGACAAAAGCCCGATATATTCCTCGCTGTACTGTTTAAATGAGATACCATACACAGGGTGCTTGAGCTCGTCCCTGGTAAACAGGTGGCCTGAAACAAAGGCCAATCCTTCCCTCGCCTCCAAAAATCCATTGGCATTTATGACATAATCATCACTACTTTCTCTTCATAAGTAGAAAGAGTCTGTCTTTGAGGTCAGGCGGATGCAGGTTGGGATGCGGGTGAGAACCCCAGGAACACTTTTAAATTTAAATTGTTTCTGGCCATCTGGGGTGCGCTGACAACACCTCACCTGATTTTGTGAATATGCATGAAGACCATCCGTTCCTAGATCACACAGAGGAATATGAAGGGTCTGTCTGCCTCTGGGCCTAACACAGTTGTCTCCCTGTTCAGATCTCTGCAGATTGTTGCCGAGAGGAGAAGACACTTGGCATTCGAGTGGAAATCGGACCTCTAATCCAAGCATATTGCTTGCTATTAATCGCCAAAACAGGACTGCTAATGAGGAATGTATTTGCATATGTTTGCAAAAGCTGCATCACTGAAAACTTAACCTGGAGACTCTCTACCTTTGGACGCCCCTGAGGTGGAGAGCCAAGGGTGTGGCAGTAGTCCGGCTTTTGAAACTTAGGTATTTTTTAATCTTTCCCCTCAAGAACTTTTTTTTAAAGAAATGGATTTGCCATTTTTCTTAATTTGCAGGTCTGCCTTGGTGGCTTTGTTTGCGGGGACAAGGCCCACACCTGTGCCTCTCCTATTGACCCTTACTTTTCAATTCGAAGAATCTATTTAAGAATTTAATATATGAGGTTTTCTTTGATTCTTCCTCAGTTCTACTCAGATTCAGAGAAAAAAGAATTATTTGAATAAAGTGAATAGGGACTCATTTGTCTGTGCCTGACTTTACGGAATGAACAGATTTTTTTTTTTCCTCCATATTGTATTTTTTCAGGTGGATTGATGACAGGAGAACAAGGCTCCCATTTCAGGTGCTCAGCAGGGCACCCTGAGCTCCTCCTGTGTCGGGTCCCCTGAGGCTGTCCTTGGGATGGGCAGTCTGCTAAAGGGACTCCCAGACAAACTGCTGGACTCACAGTCACAGTTTATTACCGTGACAAGATGGAGATTAAAATCTGCAAAGTAAAAAAGGTGCCGAGGGCAGGTACAGGGAGATCAGGAGTGAGCGTCCAGGGATCCTCACCCAGTGGAGGCTTACGGACACGCTTAATTCTACCAGCCACGACAGGTGACAACTATTGCCACCAGGAAAGCTCACTTGAGCCTTGGTGTGTGGCGTTTTTATTGGGCATCAGTCATAGGCATGGGGCACCCATATGACACCTCAAGTACTCCCATCTCCAGCCCCGGCAGAAGTCAAGTGATCCGGCCTGATCCCAGGCCCATCATAAATCACATTGTTAGCATAGACCATCAGGCCTGGTGTGAGGTATGGTATGGAAAGACACTGTTATTAGACAAGATATCCCAAAGGCTTAAGAGATCATCTCTCAAGAGCTGGTCAAGGGCCAGTGTTTTCTTTGGCATATACAGGATGTGAACAGCCCCAGCCTGCTGGGCCCCAAAATGCTGCACAGCCCCCAAATGCTGAGGGACCAGCTGGGCCCAGAGCAGTTTCTTGTCTTTAAGGGTTAAAGTGTTTTATCCACCCTCCCTTGCTTTGCAGGCTTTGGGAAGGCAATGACTCCCAGTGGTTTGGAGCATAGATTTTTGGAGTCAGGCCTAAGAACTTACTGGCTGTGTGGCGTGGGGCTTCATTTCTTCATCTGTAAAATGGGGAAGGTAAAACTTCAGGGGTTTATTGGGAGGGGCCGATGGTTGACCTAGGCAGTGGGGCCTGGGGTGCAATGAGCCTACAGTGTGAGGCAGCTCTGGTCTCTCCTGGTCTTGGAACTGCGTTAGGGGGGAGCTGATGGAGCTCTGAACACAGGAAGCTCATGGTCACCGCTCAGCGGGGAGCCGAGCACACCCAGCCTTATTCAGCGTTCCACTCATCTGTTGCTGTAGAACCGGCCAGCCCCGCACTTAGTGACTTACCACAGTGTACTGTTAAATCTCTCCATTCTGGAAGTCAGCCGGAGGGAGCTGGGTGGTTCTCACAGTCAGAGGGTGGCTGGGACTCCTGTCATCCGAAGGCTTCTTCATTCCCACATCTGGTGCTGGGCCCAGGTGGTTAGAGTGTCAGGAGGCTTTCCTGGGCTTCTCTGTCGCATGGCCTTGTCCACGTGGCTAGCCTGACAGCATGGCGGCCTCAGGACAGCCAGACTTTTTCCACGGGGGCTGGCTTCTCCCAGAGCAGGCGTTGCCAGAGGCCAGAAGCACCGGAATAGCCAGTCAGTTAAGGGATAAGCCTGGCCCGGTGTCACTGCCACTGAGTTTGTCCTAGGGACCCCCCATCCCCGCCGTGTTCAAGAGAGTAGAGATTCCTCCTTGGAATCCCTGCAGTGGCAAGGGCACAATGCAGAAGTGCAGGTGGGTGAGAGAGGCAGCTGTGGCCATCTTGGGACAACCAGCTGGGCACGGTCATCATCAAAACCAGTTTATCAGCCCTCCCCCCCCAGGGTCATCAAATAACGTAGGAATTCATCAGATTATGAGATTTCTCTCTGGGAAATGCGACGTTAGCCGAATGTTCCCTTTCTTCAACAGGGTGCACACTAAAGACATCTCTTTACTCTTTAAAGCACGGTGATTCCAGACCCCCAAAAGGCTTGGTCATCAAGAAACGCAGGCTTTTTGGTTTCCCCAGACTCTGCCTTGGGAGCAGGAACAGTTCTTCCCACTGATGGAGCTACTCCAGGCCTCCTGAAGCCCCAAATCTGGGCCACGAACCAAGAAGACATCTCTTACCCCGTCCTCATTGTCTCTTCTCAAGGAACACTTTTCAGGACTATTAACAGGGAATCCCATTCCTTTGGGTGAAAGCCCTCGATCCACCCACTAGGGCAGGCTCCTGGCCAAGTGCCCTCCACCAACTTAAGCCCATTCACAAGTGTGGATTATCCTGAGCTGACCTTGTTTCCATGGTAACAGCTGGTATTTTCAACAGGCTGTTGAGTTGCCTCGTTATTTTAAAATAATTATAGACTCCTGTGAAGTTGCAAAGGTACAACACGGGGTCCTGTGGATCCTTCACGTGGCTTCCCCCAACACGGACATCTTGGATCAACTATAGTGTCATATCAAACCAGGAAATTGACCATAACGCAGTGCTGTTAACTAGCCTACAGACCACAGGCCTGGTTCCATTTTCACCATTTTGTGCATAGGTGTGGTGTGTGTGTGTGTGTGTGCGTGCGTGCAGAGTTTCATCCCCTTTCAGTGGCAGACCCTTCCATATCTGCCCCCCCCCCCCCCGCCGCGGACACACAAAGTCACATAAGCTTAATCTGAGAAACAGAAATGGTACTTCTGATGAGAACACCATCCCTGTCCCAAGCCCTGGTAACTTCCCTTTGAAGCACTTGCTCATGGTCAAGGTTTTGCATTAACGTACCTGGTGATTTGATTCAAGTTGGTCTTACTGGATTCAAATTGCTCTTACTGGACCGTACACCGTATGAGTGCAAGAACCATTATTCCTCATTGTTCCCCATTTACCACCGGTCACAGGCTGGGAAAGCCAGCGACCAAGCAGCCCCAGTGCTCCTCACCTCCGGGGACTCACACCCCTTTTGTACCCTGTCCCTTTCCACTGAACAGGGATAGGGTTTTGGGTTGATAGAGGACTCATGGTTAAATTTGAATTTCAGATAAAACAGTAATTTTTTACTCTTTTACAGTATTTCATGGGACATACTTATACTAAAAACTTATTTGTTGTTTATGTGAAATTCAAGTTTAACTGGGAATCCTGTATTTTTGCTTGCTAAATCTAGCACCCCCCAGGAGGGCTGGCTGTGCAGCGAGAGGGTATTAGGGACATGGAGGGTGTGACTTCCTTGTTGTGACTTCAACCTCGTTCCTCTTTTTTTTTTTTTTTTTTTTTTTTGCGAGAGAGATTGAGAGCGAGAGCAGGGTAGGGGCAGAGGGTGAGGGAGAGAGAATCTTAAGCTGACTCCCCGCCCAGCAAGAAGCCTGACATGGGGCTCGACCCCAGGACCCCGAGATCATGACCTGAGCTGAAACCAAGAGCTGGATGCTTAACTGACTGAGCTGCCCAGGTGCCCCTGCCTTGCTGCTCTCTTAGTCACTCGCCCTCGGGGAATCCTGTCATATGTCATGAGGACACTCAGCAGCCGTAAGTAGAGGTTCACGTGGCAAGTTCCGGAGGCCTCCTGCCGACAGCCAGCACCGGCCTGCCAGTTGTGTGAGCAAATCGCCTTGGAAGCCAATCAGCCAGCCTTGGTCAAGCCTACAGGTAACTGCGGTCCCGGCTGACCGCTTGACTGCAACGCCAAGAGAGATCCCGGGTCCGGAGCAGCACATGAGCAGCTAAGCCACTCTTGAATTCCTGCCCACAGAAATTTGTGTGAGATCATGCTCACTGTTGCCCCAAGCCGCGAAGTTTGGAAGATACTTGTTACATTGCAGTAGGTAATGCGGAGGAGCTCCAGTTATTTGTGAATGAGTGAAGGAACCAGTGAATGAATGAGTGATGAATGAGTGATGAAGGCTGTGCTTCCTCCCCTCCTCTGCGGGCTTGTGAGGGCGCTCGCCCGACAGAGGACACCCAGGCCTGTGGATCCTCGCGTGCCAGAATAGAGTCTTCACAAACTCTTGAAAGGTAAGTAAGGTATCAACCATCTGTATGAAACATTTCAAGGGAAACCAGATTAGCTAATCTCAGCTCATCTGGATTTCCAATCCTCCCCAGTTCAGGACACGCTCTATATTTTTGTGACAAAATTCGAACTAAGAATAAGCCATGTGCAACTGTATAATGTCACCATCCTAGAAAAGGTACTTGTGCTAGACTTAAATATATCAGCCTTGAAATGCCACTGGCGGATTGTTTCTATGGTACCAACCTATTTAAAGGTTGTAACCAAGGAAGGATTTTTCCCCCCCAAATCTTTCGAAGGCCGTATGGAAATGGGGCTGTGGAAGCGGGTGATGAGGACTGGGGACTCGGGTAACAGAAACTACCCGGGAAGTTTGCTGATGTGTGCAGAGGGTTTGTCTCTGCGACCCCGGACAGACAGGCCTCACTCTCTACATAGTAGCTCGGGTAAGTTGGCAGAAATGGTGTGGGTGCCCCAGGCATGGTGTAGCAGAGGAAGCACCCATCTGGACGTCTGAGCTCCTAGGTTTCAGGCCTGGCTCTGCCCTTAAAACTCGCTGGGTAGGCTGTGCCTGCCCCTTGTGGCTTGACCTCCTCCACTGTTTCATCTGACAAGTGTCCACAGCCCTGTCAGGCTCCTGCTGAGGAGCCTTGTTGCCTGGCAACCCTTCTGGGATGGCTACAGGTCTGAGCACCTCATTGGGAATCCAGACACGGGCCTGGATGTCCCCAAGTCCCAAAGCAAGGGTTTTTACTGGGCACTGGCAGGAGACCATGATGTATGGGTATGAAGTCAGGCATCTACACCTCTGGTTGCCTCTCCCCTTGCTTGTCTGGACACCGGGCATTTGAACCCAGAAATCCTGAGAAACCACTGATCTTTGAGGCAGAGAGGCCTCCCATGCAGAGGTGTGAGGTTGGGTCTTTCAAATGAAAACAGTGCTAACCATTTACTAAGCTCTTATTAGTCTTACTATGGCCAGCAGCTTTAGATGCATTCCTGAGCCACCCCTCTTTTTTTGGTCCTGAAAACAATCCTTTCAGAGCACTACTGTCATTATCCCCATTTTACAGATGGGGAAACAGGTGCAGTGAGGTGAAGCTACCTACCCCTGTCCCACATTGAGGAAGGAGCAAAGTGATTTGGATCCCTGAAGTTTTACTCCAGTAGCTTCATTAAAAAAAAATTTTTTTTTTCTAGAGGTGCCCGGGTGGCTCAGTCGGTCAAGGGTCTGCCTTTGGCTCAGGTTATGATACTGGGGTCCTGGAATCGAGTCCTGCGTCAGGCTCTGTGCTCAGCAGGGAGTCGGCTTCTCCTCCCTCTGCCTCTCCCCCCACTCATGCTCTCTGTCTCTCTCTCTCTCAAATAAAAAAATCTTGGAAAAAAAACTTCTAAGTACAGAGAGAACCTTTTTCCTTCCCTTAATAACTTGAGACTAAGTTGCCTACTTGATGCCCTATCACCCCCCAAATAATTTAGTATTTCCAGCAAAGACATTTTCCAATGTAACCACAGGACATCCAGCAGAATCAGAAGATTAACATCGACACATCACTACCATGGAAACCTCAGACCACATTTACATTTTGCCAGTTGTCCCCATAACTTCCTTTATAGCAGAAAGGTCTAGTTCAGAATCATGTGCTGCATTTAGCTGTCACATCTCCTTAGACTCCTTCGGTCTGGAGCGCTTTCAGGGTCTGTCTTTGATTTTCATGACTTGGGCACTTTTGAAGATCACAGGCCAGTTGTTTGGTAAAACATCTCTTTATTTGGGTTTGTCTCAGGTATGTGTCCTCGTGTTTCCATTCCAGTTATGCATCTTTGACAGGAACATCACAGGAGTGATGCTGTGATCTCAGGGCATCCTATCACATCGTATCACGTGATCTCCACTTGTCCCATTGTTGGGGATGCACACTCTGAGCATGTGATCAGAGACTGTACTCTTAGTGACCCCACTGTGGGTCCACAAAGGCCCCCTCTCCAGAAGCCACATGGCAGGGTTCATTTGGTGAAGCAAACCCACGAGCCTCAGTCCCCGGTGATCAGAGTGATCAGAGTAACTGCAGCTTCACCAAGTCGGCCGTAAAGCTAGAGAGAGAGCTACAGAGAAGCCAAGCTTATATCTATCTTTGGCTTTGGCCTATAAACAGATGCATATACATTTCTAGGCCCAGACTCAAAACGGTTTATCTCGGCTCCGTGGTTTTCCTCACTCTGCTCCCTGGTGAAGCTTTTAGTCTTTTAGACTCTCTCCCCCCGGCCTTCTCTTGTATGAAACCTCACTTTCTAATTTCTTTCCTGAGTACATACTGTGTGTCAGGCATGGTGACACTACAAGTCAGTGGGGATACAGAGACCATGAAGTCACAGTGCCTGTCTCCCGAAGATGGCAGTTAATTGGCTTCCTGTAGGTTCTTGATTCATTAATAACGACAGGAAGTTAGATCCAGATCTTTGACCAGAAGTCCAGGGCAATTCTAACAATTGCCTCTTGAATCTTTTCATCATATGGAGGAGAGAGTGAGAAAGAACATAAGCAAAAATTAACAGCTAACACTTCTTAAGCACCTACGGTGTGGCAGGTACAGTTGAAACGGCTTACATATTTGATCTCACCGATCCTCAACCATCTTGCAAAAGAGGAAACCGAGGCTTCCAGAGAGGTAGTGACTTGCCCAAGGCCCCTCTGTAAGTGGCAGAGCTGACATGGGAACTCCAGAGCCCGTGTGCTTACAGAGTCCAGAGGCAGCCAGGGATTTCCTGGGAGGGCTTGGTGCCTCTTTCCTTCATTGCATCCCTTGAGCCTAGCACAGGGTAGGCACTCGGTACATTTCTATGCGATCAGTAAATGAATGGATGTATTAGCCAGCTGGCTGGAAAAGAAGAGAAGGGAAAGATTTCCTGGAGGGAATACTTGGGACCTCTAGAGCTTGCCCATTCATTCCTGCACTCTCTCAAGCTCCCGCAGAAGGCAACTGCTCTGTGCCCACGACGGTGCTTATCCTAAAGGACCCCAAACATACAGGAGGCAGTCTTGACCTTCATTATTGCCGCTTTCAGGCCAGGTCCCGGCCCCACTATTGCCTCACGCTATTCCTCACGACTACCCAGTGAGCTAGTCCTATATCCCCATTTTACAGATTTTGAAATCTCAGGCTGGCAAAGGAGTCCACGCAGGCCAAGGTGGTTCGGCGTCGTCCACACCTAGTGGGCGCGGAAGGGAGGCTGACGCGGCCAGGAAGTACGCCCCCAGCCACTGGAAGCCCGGAAAAAATCCCCGTTTCCTTTCTCTCATCTCAGCCCCGCCCCTGGAGCCGAAGGCGCTCTAGCCTTCCGTTGCTGCCGTGGTAACCAGCGCGCCGTTTCCGCTACCGATACGTCATTTCCGGCGCGCCGTCCTAGACACATCCGGGTTCCGGCCGCCGGAGCGGTGAGCTGCTCACCCAGAGCCCGTAGCTGTATTTGGTCTGCGGGACCGGGGGGAGGTGAGTGGGGCCGGGGGTGCGGGACGAGACGGGGTGGGGGTGGGGGTGGGGGTCCCCGCCAGTAGGAGTGAGTGAGAGGGACCCACCGAGCCCCTCCGCGAAGCCTGGCTTCAAGCCCCCCTGCTTTCGAGCTCTGCCAGCGTAGAACCAAGGGTAGGTGGTCCGACTTTCCTGAGCCTCGTTTTTCTTATCTGGAGCGTGGGAACGCTGATGGTACCCACCTCCTAGAAGTGACTTGATGCTTACATTAGCTCATCAGCCCAAAGCGTCTGGCAAGTACTTCGTCCCGCTCCGTGCCCACGACGTGCGTACTGCTCTGTGCCGAAGGCTCTGTAACTCCTAGCAAACCTTCGGTTATTACGGTGTCCAAGGAGGCTGCGGTATTATTGACTCCCTACCTCCTCTGAGAACATTTCCCTCCTTTCCAGGCTTGGGTGAGGCTGGGACCCAGTGAGTGGAATAAGCAGGGAGAACTTTGTGACAGAAGCGACCAGAGGTAGTGAACTCCCTGTCCCTGAAGGCTGCTTGCAGCAAGCAACTGGTAGGTAAGAATCACAGTCGCCGTCAGGAATTGCAAGTATTATCGTGTAGTGCACCGTGCTTGGCACTTCGTGTGTATGTAATACTGGAACACTCACGGAGTACCTGGTAGAGCTGGGATTTGAACTCAGGCTGTGATTTTAGCAGTACTTTGTTAGGTTCCTTCCCTAATCCAGTAATAGTAATGGTGATGAACCTAATCCTGGGGCTACAGTAACAGCTATTGTTCCTTGAGCGTTTTTATTCTAAGTGTTTTTTACTTTTCTTTTTTTTTTAAAGATTTTATTAGCAAGAGAGAGAATATGAGTGGGGGGAGGAAGGGGCAGAGGGAGAGGGAGAAGCAGACTCCCCACTGAACAGGGAGCCCATGCGGGCTTTCATCCCAGGACCCTGAGATCATGACCCAGGCCGAAGGCAGATGCTTAACCACCTGAGCCACCTAAGTGCCCCTGAGCTAGGTGTTTTTTGCTTTTGTGTTTTAAGATTTTATTTATTCATTTTGACAGAGAGAGACAGCAAGAGAGGGAACACAAGCGGGTGGAGTGGGAGAGGGAGCAGGCTTCCCGCGGAGCAGGGAGCCCGACATGGGGCTCGACCCCAGGACCCTGGGATCATGACATGAGCCGAAGGCAGACGCTTAACGACTGAGCCACCCAGGCGCCCCAAGCTAGGTGTTTTTTAAGCACCATCTCATTTAATCTGGCTCACAGGCCTTCTTAGAGGGTGGTAGTATAGTTAATCTACGTAAGTAAGAGACAGCTGAATCTCATCACCCAGCTACCAGGAGCTGAATTCTCTATGGCAATACATGGATGTCTGTTAAGGTAGTGTTTATAATTCTTACTGCCTTCAGAAGAGGAAAACTTTAAATCTTAGTGTCTCACCAAATAATATATTTCGGAAAGCATGTTCTAAACACAACCACTCCTGGGACCGCCGAGGGTCCAGATATAACACAAACAACAACAAAATCTGGGATCCAGGAAAATGCCCACGCCGTTTTTGAGGCAATACTAGAATAACATAGTTATTTTTATGTGGTTTATATACATGGGAGTGTGTGTGATGTTTTATGACATTGACTAAGGCAGAGAAAGATGCTTAAAAATCGCATATTGTTGGGACCAGTCTTGTCCTACCTGTTTAAATAGTGTTTGTTTTCTAAAATATGTTTTTAACGTCTGCTTTATTGAACTGTAACTGATTTTAACGGACTTTGAGTTTGGAGGAATTTCAAAGGGAGCAAGGAGCAGGGACTCAGGGAAGCCTACTGCTGCTTCCCCCAGGACTTACCACAGACTGTGTGTGCCTTTTTTATTCCTTTCTTTAGTGACTGGCCATGTCACTGTCCCACTTGTACCGAGATGGGGAAGGCCACATGGATGATGATGACGATGAGCGGGAGAACTTTGAGATCACCGACTGGGATCTCCAGAATGAATTTAACCCTAACCGGCAGCGCCACTGGCAGACCAAGGAAGAGGCCACCTATGGAGTCTGGGCAGAGAGAGACTCAGATGAAGAGAGGCCCAGCTTTGGAGGCAAACGGTACTGGGCGGCATGGGGCTTGCTTCCGCCTTGCTTTAGGGAAGTGGGGAAGATGGAGAGGGGGCTGGGCAGATACCCCACTAAATACACTTCGCTCCTGGCCTTACTGAGTCCCGTAGCTACAACATCAGCTAGGGAAGCCCAGCTTCCTCTTGGGCTGGAGTGCTGCTCTTTTGCTGATTTAACCATCCGTTGGTGTTTAACAAGCAATTATATGTATTAGGTCTTAATGCTCCCATTCCTTGCCTTCTGGGAGCCCGGACACTAGAGCATGGAGACAGGCATTCATCGACAGCTCCCACAGTGGAAGTTTGTAACTGATTTGGGACCTGCGGGAGAGAGTTTGACCTGTTCTGGGAGGTGAGGGAAGATTTCTCTAGAGAAGTGACCCTTGAGCTTTTATGACAGCAGAAGGTAACAAGGGTGGTTGGGGAGGCACGAGTATGCCGAGGCTCTGGAGGGGAGGCAGCGGGTGTCCCCAGAGGTACAGAAGGTTTTGCAGACTGGAGTGGGGAGAGGGAGCGGGAGTGTAGTTTGAGAAGAGGCCCGTGGGGTCTGTGGTAAGAGGGCGGATGATGTGGGCAGTGGTTATGTTTGGAGAGGACCTTTTGGTGAGCAGAGTCGGCACGGACCTCCAGCGGAAGAGGGAGCTGTGTGAGGCCAAGACAGGGTCCCTGCAGTGGTGGTGGCAGGGAGATGAGGATTCAGGCCGGTAGTCCTCCTCAGCGTGAGGTTGTGTGTGCACTGGCCACAGCTCACTTGACCAGAGCGTGTAGCGAGTTTGGGTTTGTCTTCCTGTCCCATCTGTGGCCTACAGGCTCCAGCCCGTGGAGACTGTGCCTTTTTCACCAAGGAGCCTGGGGAGAAAGAGTATGGAGATCAGCTGAACCCCTTCTCATCTGGCAGGGAAACCCAAAAGTGGATGCTAAAAGGATCAGAGGTCAAGAATTACGTAACCATAAGATAACAGCCAACATCTGTTGGCCCCTTCCTTGTTCTGCGCTCTTTACCTTGTGAGAAAAGTACCGTTATTATCATCCCCCATTTTACAGATTAAGAAACTGAGGCAAAAGCACATAGCCAAGCTGTGAGCATCTGGGCCTGACTCGAGTTTGGGCTCTTAGCCCCTAAGTTACATCGCATCTTTTAGGTAACAGTCCTCTGAGTTCTCTTACTGCCTGGGGGCATGTTTAAAGACAGGTTGGTCATCGTATAAAGAGAACCAAGGTTATGACATTGTAAGTGCTGTTCTTGGAACAGTCGTGGTCAGCATCGCTACTCTCCATCTCCCGGAGTTAATTTCTTAGGTATTTTACTTTGTTTTCATATACAAATAAAGGTAATGGACTTGAAGTTTTTCTAAGAATTTGGCCGATATTGTAAGAATTTGGCTGATATAATTGTTCTTTCCATTCACACAATTTCTTTTATTGTGTTTGATGATTTTTCTCTATCAGAATTTCTTTCTTGCTTGGTTTTTGTACTTGAAATAGGGTCCAAAACACATGGTTTTTAAAGTAAGTTAATTTTGAAACATGTAAAAGAAAGTTGCATTACCACGTCATATTTTGCATTTTTTCCCTTTCACTTTTATTGAGACATAATCGATGCACTGTTTAAGATCTTATTTTGCATTTTTCATCAGCCCTGCACTGACAGGGTAACCGTCAACCACACAGTTGACTTGAACACAGCAGGCAACAATGTTCCCATGATTATAGGAAGCTAGATCTGGGGCCCTTTTGGTATAAGTGAATGTGTTGCTCTTTTAAAATGGGTCCCTGGAGGTCCTGTCTTAGGGGTTCTCAGGCCAGCAATAGTTTCCACGAGGGATGCTGCAGAAGGTTCCTTACAGACCCCTGGGGGCCATGTGTTTGCTCTCAGGGCCCGCGACTACTCTGCGCCCGTCAACTTCATCAGTGCAGGCCTCAAGAAAGGGGCAGCAGAGGGGGCCGAGCTGGAAGATTCAGAAGATGAAGAGAAGCCTGTTAAGCAGGATGACTTTCCTAAGGATTTCGGACCCAAGAAGTTAAAGACGGTAGCATCTTCATCTTAGGCTTGTGACCTTTGTAATGTCCTTGGGAGGTCATGCAGCCCAAGCATCTCCTACAGGCCATGGAGGGGGGTGGGACTCAACAGAGGCCGGTTGTGTGGGTTTCTCCTCGTGGTGGCGGGTTCCTTGGAGGTGCAGAGTGGGCAGTGCGGTGTCTTTGCTTTTCTAACACACGGCACAGGTCTATTTTTGGTTCGTATGATGCTTTTCATGATGCTCTGACTGCCAGGCCCTTTTCCCGGCATCCAAGCTTGCTTTTTTTAGGGTTTTTCTTTTTCTTCTTTATCTTTTTCCATCAACTGAACTTTGCGTTTTTTTTCTGCTCAGGGTGGCAATTTTAAACCCAGCCAGAAAGGCTTTGCAGGAGGAACCAAGTCTTTCATGGATTTTGGCAGCTGGGAAAGACACACAAAAGGCATTGGACAGAAGCTTCTTCAGAAGATGGGCTATGTGCCTGGCAGGGGCCTCGGGAAGAATGCACAAGGTAGGGCACCAGCGGCCTGCAGTCGTGGGGAGGGCGGCGAGATGGAAGAAAGAGGAGCTGTCCGGGGAGTGCCTTGCTTTTTCTCTTTTCAGAGTACTTGAACTCTGCAGCCTGCTCTGCCAGCGCCAGACACTTGTGCCCCTCAGCTGTCTGCTTTCTCACACTCCAACAAAACACTTGTGCTGCAGGAGAAAGAGGCTTAGGCTTTGTAGAAGGCGGCTCAAACAGGCTGCAAACTGATAGGCTTCTTTTGGGCTTATCCAGTGTTTCTTAACAAATGAGCTTGTTGCCAGTATTCACAAATAAGATAATCTTACCGAAGATTTCCGATCTTGCCTAGTAGGAATGGGTCTTAGCTGCCGAGGACAGTGCTCGTGGCCTCCACCGCTCCCTGTCATCTTCTGTCCTGGCACGCGTTCCCTGTCCATGAGTTTTCCTGGGCCCTGGAGGTACAGGAGCCGGCCGTTCCTGCTCAGTTATTTGTCCTTTGGGAATAGCAGTGAAACACCGTGTGGAGCTTTTTCAGCCCTAGAGACCGGAAACCTGGCTAAGCAAATCCCGCTTCAGGGCCTCCACTGGCGCTCAGCAGCCTGGTCTCCTGTCCCCAGGCCCCGTCCACGCAGCTCCGCTAACATGTCCCTGGCTCTTTGATAACGAAGCCACACCAACCGAGCACTTGGGTTCTTCTGCAGAACCCTGCTCTCTCTCTCTCTCCTTGACCTCTTTCCCGTGAGCTGTCACCAAGTGGCTGTAAACAGAGTAGTGTTGATAATCCAGATTCCACCCCCTAAGTAGTTGTTCGGGTCACACCCAGGGTATGTGTTGAACACGTTAGGTGTAGGGAAGGTCTGAGAACCTCCGTGGAGCTGGAGATGGTGACCTGGAATGAGAATGAGGGGACTATCCTAATTTGAGACTGCGACAGAACTAGCTGAAGGGGCGGGTGGGCGGTTTTTGCTGAAATGCTGTAGTCCTGTCTCTAAACCCTTAGAAGAAGACAGTTATTTCTGAGGCTTCCGCGTGCCGCAGAGCAAGTGAAGTCTGGGAGACAGGAGCTGTCGAGCGAAATGGAGGGGGTCTCTCACTGAACTGCTGCTTCACCTCCCTTCATGCTGTCGATAGAGTCAGACCAATTCACTTGCCTTACCTTCCTCCAAATAAAGTGTAGAACTTAGTACACCAGAGTTCCCCGTATATGTGAGTAGTTCTCCTTTCTCCCAGTATACCGAAAAAAGAATCCAAGTGGAAGTGAAAATCTGTATTTAGAACATAAATAACCTAATGTCAGCAACCGTTGTGTGGCCCCATAAATGCTGAGCCATTTCAGATCCCACAGAACCTGAACAGTGTTTCCGGGGCAGAGAAGAGCCTTCCTTCCTGGGTTGTGTTACTCTGTGTCAGGACTAAGGAAGGGTGGTTCCATTGATGCCTTGTCCAAATACAGGAATCGCTGTGATCTGAAGTCGTTTATCTTTTGCTGAAATGTGTCAGGTATCATTAACCCCATCGAAGCCAAGCAGAGAAAGGGAAAAGGTGCCGTAGGAGCTTATGGCTCAGAGCGGACCACTCAGTCCCTGCAAGACTTCCCCGTGGTTGACTCTGAAGAAGAAGCCGAAGAGGTAAGCAGAAGCCGGGAGTCCCGGCGGGTGGTGCCTGCCGTTTCTGACCATGGTTAGTTCGTGCGTTCGCTCACTTGTCCCGTCGGTCCCCAGGAGTCTGTGGCGCAGGTGTGTGTCGGGCGGGCGCCGAGCCGGCGTCAGGCTGTACCGCGAGGAGCGGCTTGGTGTCGCGCTGCTCCGGCCACAGAAGGGGCCGGCTCTCCTGACCGAGATACTCTGTCCCCCTTTGCATTTACGAGGGAAAGCAAGAGGCTGCAGAGACACACGTTGTCACTGTTCTTGTCACCGAGCCTGTCCTTTTGCCTAGGCAGCGGGCGTCTGATCATGTGGGGGTGACTGCTCGGAGTCAGGGGCCCTGGGGCCGCGGGGAGCAGGCACGCGGCAGACGGGAGTGGGTAGAGCCAGGTGTGAGGCGGCAACGAGCGCCGGGCCCGAGGCGGACAGGCGAGGACTGGGCTGTCCGAACGGGTGGTTTCTGTGCGGCTCCAGGCGGCTGTTGCTATAAATGTGGGCCCAGCAGTGCTTGATCTTCGGATCTGCCTGAAGTAGAAGTCCAGATTTTTTTTAGGGAAAAAAAGAGTACGAGTTTTAAACCAGTGTGAGGAAAACAGAAGGACAAGCACAAAACCCACTTCTGTGGGCTGGACTCCTACTGCCCTCAGACCGAGTTTCCTTCTCTGCTGCAGGTCTTCCTACAGAAAAGTTTTGCAAACCCTGATTACAAAAGGTTTCTTTGCCTTAAGACTCAGGGCCCTGTTTATCTACCTTCATTTTAAATCAGAACCAAGGTTTTGTGTACTTAAAAAAATACTCTGTATCGTTTTCTAAGTTTTGTGGGAGGTGAATTTAGAACTAGGGTAGTGCCCGCCCATAGTAGATGCTCCGTAAGTGTGGCCTTTGTCTGGGTGATTCTCTTTCCAGTCTGGAGTACCTGCTTTCGGAACCTTCTCATTTCTAAGAGGGGCTGGATGTTGGGGAATCTCAGGAGATGGTTTTAGTATCACAAAGGCACAACTGCTTAGCACAGAACCTTGTGTAAATCTAAGACCACACCTAGTGAAGGTCTGTGAATGGTCTCTGTGACCCCACCTGCTGTAAAAAGCAGCCTTTCTTGTTTCACTGACCACCTCCCTCTGCTTCAGGAGTTTCAGAAGGAGCTGAGCCAGTGGAGGAAAGACCCCAGTGGAAGCAAGAAGAAGCCCAAATACTCATATAAGACAGTGGAAGAGTTGAAGGCCAAGGGCAGGATTAGCAAGAAGCTCGCTGCCCCCCAGAAGGAGCTTTCTCAGGTCAAGGTAAGGGGGCCCTCGGTTCTGGTCCAGGATGGGCCCTGGGAAACACAACTAATGCACCGCCAAGTCGGGTCAGTCACTGAACATTCCTTCAGGTCATGTCGGGTCTTCTGTCTTGGTTTTTTTCTGTCTTTTGTTACTGGGCAGTAGTGTGCTCCCATTCCCTACACTTGCATGTCCAGGGAGGTCTGTCAGATCTGAGGGCCGGGCACTCCTCACGGCACACCCATGGTGCGTGAGACAGATAGCCACCCCTTCTTCCCAAGCGACAGGCCGTGAACTTAACGTTTCCACGATTAAAAAGGCAGTATGAAGATGGTTTTTAGTGAGTGTGTAATACCAGAGAATGAAGTACTGGAATATTTGGTCCTACTTGTGTGGCTAGACCTTTAGCTGTTTTCTCGTTTGGTTTGGGGCTGGCTAATGTGTACGTAAAGACCTGTCTTTGTTTCAGACATTTTCTAAGGATAGATTCTTAGAAGTACAATCAGTGGATTGAAAATCGGAAGCTTTTTGAGGCTTTTGAATACTGGAAAGGGTGCACTAACTCAGCCTGTGACTAGGAGTGCAGGAGAGTGTCCTCGGGGCATACCAGCATGGAGTGTTTCCTGTTTTAAAAAATTGATTAAATTTTCAACCACTCTTACGTGCGTATAGTCCTGGGTTTTCTGCCACTCCCCCGAGTAGCCAGAGAACAAGGGTGACAGTTGTGTGTTGCAGTTTGGCGTAGGAGTGTGTGTGAGTGTGCGCGCGCGTGTGTGTGCACGCGTGTCTGTATGTGAGCGTGTGTGTGTGCGTGCGCGTGTCTGTATGTGAGCGTGTGTGTGTGTGTGCGCATGCGTGCGTCTGTATGTGAGCGTGTGTGTGTGCGCGCGCATGTGTGTCATGCGTCAGATTCCTGGCAGGGAGGACCAATAAGCCATGCAGCTGCGCAGGCCCTGGCCAGAGATTCAGAGTTAGGAGATGCAGGCACGGTCTGGGAAGTTCCGTGTTTATCTTTCTCCAGCTGATTCTAACACGTGGTCTTGGGCAACATGCTTCGTTCTGTGCGGAGGGAGGGCTGTGTCTCAGTACGCTGTATATTGCAGTTCCTCCCGTTTTCTTGAAATGCTCATTTCCTAAGGTGCCTTGTCCAGTCACTGTTTTCTCATGTTTTTTAAAAGACAAATAATTACAGAGCAGTGTGCGGTACCATTTAGGGAATTAGGAAACACGGAGGCAAAAATACTCTTTTTCTTCTTTTCCCATAGATGACTAGTTTTAACACCTTGACGCACGTCCTTCTAGATCCTTTTTCTTTGCCTAAGTATCCATTTTTCTGACGCCACAATGGGATGGTCTGATCGCTCACGCTGTTTTAGTGCCGGCTTCAGTCAGAGCAGCCGCTCCTTTGCCAGAGAACTAGATTTTCTTCTCAGCGAAATAGTCTTTGCTCCCGAGGGACAGTGTGGCCATGCCGGATGCGTCCGGTGTCCCCCCCCCCCCCCGCCCCCAGAGGCGCGTGCTGACGCGCCACCCCCGCCCCCTCCCAGGTCATTGACATGACGGGCCGGGAGCAGAAGGTCTACTACAGTTACAGCCAGATCAGCCACAAGCACAGCGTCCCTGACGACGGGCTGCCGGCGCAGTCCCAGCAGCCGCCTCAGCCCGGCAAAGAGGCCAAGGCGCCGGGCTTCGCGCTGCCCGAGCTGGAGCACAACCTGCAGCTGCTCATCGACCTCACGGAACAGGAGATCATCCAGAGCGACCGGCAGCTGCAGTACGAGCGGGACATGGTGGTCAACCTGTCGCACGAGCTGGACAAGATGTCGGAGGTCCTGGAGCACGAGGAGCGGGCCATCGCCAACCTCAGCAAGGTCCTGGAGGTGGTGGAGGAGTGCGAGCGGCGCCTGCAGCCCGGCTGCGGCGACCCCCTCACGCTGGACGAGTGCGCCCACGTCTTCGAGACCCTGCAAGACAAGTACTACGAGGAGTACAGGATGTCCGACCGCGTGGACCTCGCCGTGGCCATTGTCTACCCGCTCATGAAGGAGTACTTCAGGGAGTGGGACCCGCTGAAGGTGAGTGGCTGGCGAGAGGAGCCCCTCCGCTCCCGCCCGGGCTGCAGGGGTGAGGCCGTGCGGGGCAGGGCGGCTGCGTCACGGCCGCGTCTCTGCCCAGGACTGCGCTTACGGCACGGAGGTCATCTCCAAGTGGAAGAGCCTCCTGGAGAACGACCAGCTCTTATCCCACGGCGGGCAGGACCTCTCAGCAGACGCCTTTCACAGGTACCGCGCGCGGACCGGGAGGAAGGTGCCGCCGGGGAGCGCGGGGACCGGCCCTGCTCGGGGGCTTTCCGTTCACCCGTCCACCCTGCGCCCGTCAGTGGCACGCACGGGCTGGGCGCCGGGCTTGCCCTGGGAGTAAGGCAGACAGCCCCAGGCTGCAGCGAGTGGAAAGGGCCGGTGGAGGGTAAAGAAGCGGACAGACAGGGCCAGGGATGGAGGACAGAAAGGGCGGGCCCCTGTTTGGGGTGGCGGGAGTAGTTGGAAGCAGAAGTCTCTGAGAGGAGGTGACATGTGAGCTGTGACCCACGAGGTAAGTCATCAGCTGCGCACAGAGCTCCAGCGGGAAGGCAGGCCGCCCCTGGAGAGGGGACCCTTGTGACCCCACGGCAACCCTCCCAGGCAGGCGGGTCCTGGCAGGGGGCCCCAGGCCCTGCGGATGAGCAGGCAGCTGGGCGAGCAGGGATGAAGCAGGTGCAGGTCTGGCCGGTATGGGGACTGGCCCGGGGGTTTGCTGTGTTTGCATTTCCATGCCTTTTTCTTTCTTGTTCTGGAGAGCTGGTGGCGGTGTACTCAGTCTGCTTTGCAACCTGTGTGTGCAGTTAGCCTGCCCTCTGCCTCTCTCCCACAGGCTGATATGGGAAGTCTGGATGCCTTTCGTTCGAAATATTGTCACCCAGTGGCAGCCGAGGAACTGTGACCCGATGGTGGACTTTTTGGACAGCTGGGTGCACATTATTCCCGTGTGGATCTTAGATAACATCCTGGACCAGCTCATCTTCCCCAAGCTGCAGAAGGAGGTAGGGCCCTGAGGCGTGGGGGACACCTGGCAGCAGTAACCAGGGCTTTCTCTGCTCTCAGTACCGTCAGAAGGCCTGGAACGAACAGAATCTGCTGACACGGTTACTGTCCTATGGGTAACTCCAGCCCTTTTGTTGGCACCTTTCCCCCAGAACCTCCCTATTTAAGTAGGGAATTCATTTCCTTGGTTTTTCTAATGCAAACAGAATCTGTGCCATTTTGGAGATTCCGTGCAGTTGGCCGGGGATATTAGTTTGGTTGTGCAGAGGCCTCTGGGCCTTCATGCCGTCAGCCACACGGTGCATCCGGAACTGCTGCTTTGTCCCACGCTTTCTGCAGGTGGAAAACTGGAACCCGCTGACGGACACCGTGCCTATCCACTCCTGGGTCCACCCGTGGCTGCCCCTCATGCAAGCGCGCCTGGAGCCCCTCTACTCCCCCATCCGCAGCAAGCTGTCCAGCGCCCTGCAGAAGTGGCACCCCAGCGACTCCTCCGCCAAGCTCATCCTGCAGCCCTGGAAAGACGTCTTCACCCCGGGCTCCTGGGAAGCGTTCATGGTCAAGAACATAGTACCCAAGCTGGGTGAGGAAATGGGGAAAGGGCATTAGGTCCATCAGCTTTGGTGCCCTGGTTTCTCGGGCCAGCGGTAAGGATCCGTGCTTCTTAAAACACGGACTTGGAGCTCCACAAGAAAGCCAAGGACGCGGTGTTGCTCGCCACAGGAACTGCCATTTGTGCTCAGAGGTAGAACATAAATGTACCCGGGGTTCTGACGGCATCGGCGGCCTCAGACTCTCCAGGGCCCTCCTGGTTCCTTATTGGTCTGGTTTGGGCTTCTGGTAACGTGCGAAGCATTGGTGTTCTGAGATTTTTGTGGTATTTGATTTTAAGTACATATTAGTTATTTCTGGGTTATAGAAGAAAAGGTTTTTAAGAATTGCCACATCAAGAGCTTAAAATTGATGGATAAAAGATTTCGGCCAGTGTTGTCCAGTGAGGATTTTGCTCTGTGCTTTTATGACTTTGCCTTAAATCCTGGGCTGCTTTTGCAGGGATGTGTCTCGGGGAGTTGGTCATTAACCCCCACCAGCAGCACATGGATGCTTTTTACTGGGTCATCGACTGGGAAGGAATGATCTCTGTGTCCAGCCTGGTGGGGCTGCTCGAGAAACACTTCTTCCCTAAGTGGCTTCAGGTACACCCTCCTTTGCTGATTTTGGGGGGCGGGGTGGGATGGAGGCAGGGAGGATTACACTTAATTTTCTGCCCACATCTGTCTGACTGTAGGAGCTTGATCCCTGGACAGTTGTCAGGTTGTGCTATTACCCAGAACAAAACCGAGCAGTAATCCCAGCAACTGCCATTTGTGAACATACGCCATGTGCCAGATGCTAAGCGGCTCTTGTGCGTTCCCTCCACTCCTCACACCGCACCTTTGGGGTGGGGGGCGGGGGGAACTGTCGCAGCCCTGTCGTTTAGAGGCCGAGGTTCAGGGAGTTTACAGTCAGGGGCGCTTAGCTGCCAAGCTGACTCCAAATTCTACATTCTGAATGCTTCTGTTCAGCCCCTGTAAACCCCTACGAGTGTCACCAGCTTATAGGACCACGATCAAAACAAAACAAATGGCCCCTTGGGAAGTTTTGCTCCCACCCGCCCCCATTGCAGATGCAAGTTTCCGATTTCTTTTTGGGCAGGTGCTATGCTCTTGGCTCAGTAACAGCCCGAATTATGAGGAGATCACCAAGTGGTACCTGGGTTGGAAGTCCATGTTCTCAGACCAAGTGCTGGCACACCCATCTGTCAAGGACAAATTTAACGAAGCACTTGACATCATGAACAGGGCAGTGTCCTCCAATGTTGGTGAGTAGGGATTGCGCTTCGGATGCCCTGGTCCTGAGTGCCGCATTTCTAAACACGTAAATGACACAGAAGCAGGAGTTTCCGGGTGCCTGTGGGCTGTCTGCTCCAGCACGGACTCTTCCCCACCAGACCCCCTGCCCATCTCTGCCGGCACTGGGAGAGGCACAGGGCCCTGACCTGAGTCTGCCTGCAGCCGGATTCATACTAGGGCGGGAGCCTGCCTCTAGGGCCCCCTTCCAGGTTCGTTGGCACCCCTGTGAAGAGCTCAGTGAGCTCTGAGTGGAACAGCTCGCCACATAGAGTCGGAGTACAGCCTGACGCCTAGCAGTTGCCTCTCCTCGCTTGGCCCATTTTATTTACTTGTGAAACAGTCATAATGCCTACTTCTAGATGTTCTTAAAAACCTAGAGGGGTGAAGTGAGCCACAGTCTGTAGAGCGCTTTGCAGGTGGTGTCTGTCGTCTCAGAAGTAGGCAGGTGACTGTCCCCTTAATATACCCATCCCCAGCTTCTGACCAGGTGAGTCGCTGCCTAGGTCAGTGTGCTTGCATCCCAACACAAAGGCCACTGTGGTACCCAGGCCAGCTCTGCTTCACAGAGCAGCTCCACAAGGCCAAGAGCTAGTTCAAGGTCACACAGCGAGAATGGCAGGTGGGACTGTAATTTCTATTTCCTGAGCCTTTAGTCCTTTGAGCCTGTTACATGAAGAGAGAGTTCATAGGGTATATATTATGTTGAACGAGGCAGATAGACTTCTCCGCTCTCTCTCATCCAGGCCCCTCAGTGGGCCATCCCCATTTTCATACTCTCTAGAAACTCTCCCTCGGCTGCCCCGGCTCCAGGCCACCTCCCAGAGCTGTTCCCATCTGTTTCCCTCAGCACTGGACAGTTGTGGCCCTGTCTTGTCCTTCAGCATCTATTTGAGCTCCCCAAACGCATTCTAATTTCTTCCGAGGCTGGGGCCTCTATGGAGAAGCTGAAAATAGAACTAGGCTAGGCCGTGTGTTATCAAGGTTTCCAGTCCTGGAAGGATCAATCTCTTGCAGTAATTCATGTCAATCATCTCTCTTGTTACTACCATTAGCCAGAAACCTTCAGACCAATTTTTGTATAAAAGCAGGAGTGGTCTGAACTTGACGAAGCTGCTTGCCATCTGCCTTTGTGCTTTGTGTCTCTGAGGCCCAGCTGCCCCTCACTGAGTCACAGGTGGGGTTGGCCAAATCTGTGTGCCTTTCCGTGCATTTGGAACCCCTCTCCTCACCGCCCCCCCCCGCCCCCCTCTGACTCTCCCAGGTGCCTACATGCAGCCCGGAGCGCGGGAGAACATAGCCTACCTCACGCACACGGAGCGGAGGAAGGACTTCCAGTACGAGGCCATGCAGGAGCGACGGGAGGCTGAGAACATGGCCCAGAGGGGCATCGGCGTGGCTGCCAGCTCTGTGCCCATGAACTTTAAGGACCTCATTGAGACCAAGGCTGAGGAGCACAACATCGTGTTCATGCCGGTCATCGGGAAGCGACATGAAGGGAAGCAGCTCTACACCTTTGGCCGCATCGTCATCTACATCGACCGGGGAGTGGTGTTTGTCCAGGGCGAGAAGACCTGGGTGCCCACCTCCCTGCAGAGCCTGATTGACATGGCCAAGTAGAGGGGACAGGCTGAACCTTGCACCGGAGAGGGGACATGGTCATGAATAAATGGTATTTTAAACCGCCTTACAAAGAGTAGTTACTCTCCATCCAGGAGATATTCCCGGTCAGGTCGCCAAGAAAGGACATGAAACGTACTGCTACAGAGAGGCGCCTCAGTCTTTACACGGAGCCCTTCCACAGCACGTCCTCTGCTAAGGAGGAAGCCGGGCCCGCTGCACTCCCTCCGTGGCCACCCTCCCGGTCATCTCTGGTGGCAGCTGCTGCTGCCTCAGCCAGCACCCAGCACGTCACAGCGAGCTTAGGTCAGCAGCTGAAGGAGCTCTTGGCTTGTTCCTGATGATTTCCAGGCCCTCGCAGTCCCGATAGTCTGGTTCTTCCCAAAATGCCCAAGCGTCCGGGGGCAGTTGTTGTAGCTTCCGTATGGGGAACCAGTGCACGGAGGTATCGTTAAATATGTCCGTGTACTGCGAGGTCTCAGGCAGCTTAAGCTCCTCCAGTGCTTCCAGAATCTAAGCAGGAAAGTTCAAGTGTAAATGCACAGCCCTGACGGTCACAGTAAACCCCACACTGATGGGTGCCATTTGTCGGTCACCCCCAGGTTACCCTTTTTAAAAAAAATCGAGGACCAGGATATGCTGACTTAGTGCTTCTGTGATGAACCAGAAGCCCCGAGGTGCGCATGTGGGGCTGATCCTGAGAAGGGAGGACAGGCCCTTGCCTTCTGGAACACAGCTGTCGGGAAAGCTCGCGGACTACAACAACTTCCCCCTGCCCTCAGTGAGCCCCTCATGAGCTTCCTCCCAAACGTGTAACGCAGAATTCACTATAACGGGGACATGGTCTGGTTTCACACCCTTTTCCATCCCAGTCCCTTCGTTTACACAGATACCTTTGCAATGTAGCAATAATTTTTCTGCAGAATCCTGGCCGGCAATCTAGAAATTAAACAAACAAACAAGCCCAGCACGATTAGGAGGTATGGGAGGGTTTTATCTAACTTAAGACATTGCAGAAATGCAAAGTAGTTTAAAGACAGCAAACATTTCAAAAAGGGGGAACGTGCAGTGGGTTCGGTAATCCGTAGAAAACGTGACTGCCCGATCACCACCCCTTCTGCCAAAGGAGGAGTGAGGGCGGACACCTAAGGCGTGTACAGCTGAGAGCAAATGATTTCCCCCTCTTTTAGAAAACACTTGTACATCCTAAGGGAAGGGAGGAATTCTTGGCAGACAGATCTTAACTCTGCAGCTTGACTGGGGGCTGGTGTCCCCCCATCTAACCCTGTCCGCTTTCCTATGGACCAGTGTCTCCTGCGTGTGGGTCTGTCAGGAAGGCCCCCGCCCCGGTCTGGCAGGACCTCTGCGTGCCCAGGCTCACCTTTCCTCAAGTCCTCTGAAGCTGTTCCCGATGATGAGCATCTTGGCAAGGGCGTCTACCGACCAGTTGCCCCACAGAAGGTTGTTGTACAGGGCTGTGCCGCAGTGGGGCATGTAGAAGACAGTGGGCTCGCCGCCGATGCTCCGTCTGCCTTCCTGTGGGGACAGCCGCGTGGTGAGAGCCACAGTGCGAGCCCCTCCACTCTTCCCGGGAGGTGGGCGCGGGGGACACACCCGGGAGGGGCGGAGCCCTCTCACCACGAAGTGATCACAGTGCACTGACGTGAGGCGACCCACGTTAGCCACCCTTACTGTACGCATTTCACAACAGACACGTGTAGCGGGTCACGCCGCACACCTTAGACTTCCACGAAGTCCTGCGTCCGTCAGAGCAGCACCTCTGGACGAAACCAGCAGCTGCGAGGGAGGCACGCTGAAACCACGTGGAAACAAAGCCCTTCCTTTGCCAACAGTCAGGTTATAATGTGGCCTGAAATTTACAGATGATGTGGGCCCCAAAGTCGGGAAATGGTGAGGTCCAGAAAGAACTTGTGTTTACTGAACAGATGTGGGCCCCACGATCACAGGAAGCTCTGCTTCAGCAGAGGGGCTTCTTGGGTCCGAGACAGCAAGGGCAGGAGGGGTGGCCACGGTTACGGACCCCATGGACTGTGCTTGGTCTGCCTCCGGGCTGCCTGGGTCCCTTTCTGCAGATGCCTATCACAGTCAGTCCCTCCCAAATGTCCCCTGGAGGACACAACGGCCCCTCCTGAGGACCGTGGCTCCACAGCCAGGCCCGCGGCAGGGACGCAGGCCCTGCCTCCCCTGGGCCTCTCCGCTCTGCACGCTCCTCCCTCCTGTTCATCACAAACAGGCCGGAGCCAGCCTGGGCCCATCCGGCCAACTCCTGGTGGGCCTACGATCCCAGCGCCGACCCAGAAAACCTTCCTCCAGCCCCTCAAACGGCGCGGAGTGCCTTCCGCTCTCTGTCCCGCTCACCACGTACTTGCTGACAGGCCACACCCCCCTGATGGGCCCCTGGGCCCCTGGGCAGCGGACTGCATCTATCTTGGCCCCTCCCCAAAGTCCTTGCCCCGCACAGAGCAGGCACTGAGGACAGACGACGTGAATGGAGGGGCAGGGTTTCAGGGCCCCGCCAACATTGGTGAAGGATTCTCTTCTCTCAGCGGGGCCTGGTTTTCTGCTTTCGTAACAATGAGATGGCTGCTTTGGAACACGGAGAGGGATGAAATGTAATTTCATTTGTACAGAATTACAGAATTTCTGTAATCGCCCCAGCAAATGCAAAGCGGCTGGCAGGGCTGTGTCCCGACACTGGCTTCAGGCCCCCGCTGGTGAGATGATCTTGTTCCAGGTCTCACAAATTTCACCCCAGGGCGCATAAGGTGCGCTCAGAGCCAGATGCTATGGGTGTGACCGGGCTACCGCGCAAAGAGAGATGTTCTGTCCCCTTTTATGCCCTCCCCTAGCACAGGTAAACCCCAACCAGAAAGCCGTCACGTGAGGCACCGAGCCAGCGTACCCCTTTATTTTTTAACACCAACAGTAAGTACCAACTTAGGAAACTGCCAGAGGTTCCTGGACACAGGATTCTCACCAGAATTTTGCAGATATAACAGGTTTCAGGCCATGCTTTTGTGTGTGTGTGTGTGTGTGTGTGTGTGTGTGTGTGTGTGCGTGTGCGTGACGGGCACCACCTTGGCCACGATGTGGGGCACTGGCGGGTCCCCCGTGACAGGCGCCGGGAAGGCAAGCGGGCAGTGGGAGGGAACGACGGCGGCTGCAGAGCAGGTGCGTCCGTGGGGCACAGCCTGGGGTCCCCCTCGGTCAGCAGTCCCACGGCCCTCCCGCTCCCCTGCCCCAAGCCACTCACCTCGTTCTCGCTGAGGACAGTCACACCGAGCATATTCAGAACCGTGATTTCTGTTTGGCTAAACAGAGGGTCGTACACCCAGCAGTGCCTTCTGGGAATCTGCGGAAGGGAAGAGTGACTTCTATCAGCCCAACGATCTGTGTGCAGACCGTGTGCAAGCCCTAGGGGGGACTGATCAAGAAGAATCCAAAGATGTACCTGGCACTTTTCCAGGAAGAGAAGCAGAAACGTGAGCTGGTGTCTAGCTATGACGCAGGTGGCAAAGTTCCCAATGCCATAACATACACACTTCAAACGGCAGATTCCCGGGACTGGGGTCTCTCCTGGGATGGAGCCAGGAGTCACAGCAGCCTCATCTGGTGAGGAGTCAAGATGCAGGTTTCCAAGGGCTTCGGAAAGAGTCCCCTCAGAGGCCTTCAGTTGTTCCAGATGTTTTGTAAGACAGCCGTTGATGGTTTCTGAAAGAGCAGGCCCCCGAACACAGTCAGAGGGCATGCTCTGACCCTGTGAACCAAATCCGTCACCGAAGTCCACAGACCCAGGGAGAAAAGGAGCAAGTCGGGAAAGGCTTCAGCTCCTCAGGGAGAAGGACGCAGGCCTCACTCCCAAACATGCGTGGGAGGTACGGCCAGGCCCACCAGCACCACAGGCTGTCCCGGGTCCCTGCATGCCCCCCCACCCCATGCCTGCAACCCCTGAGAATGTTCCAGCAAAAAGAATAGGCTTCATTTATGGTAACAGTTTCCACCCAGAACTCAAATGTGAACTGTGTCTTAAAATTTAGTAGGAGGTACCCGGTAAACGCGGGGTATGCTCTGAGGTACCTACTTTTTGATCATAACAAAGTACAGAGGAACAGAGCTCTCAAAATCACACTATAAACAGCTGGGAATAGGAATATCTCATGTCAAAAGTTCAAAGAAAAAAAGGCTGGGGCTCTTGGAGTCTAACAAAATACACTCGTTTAAATCTTCTCACACGGCTGGTGAGTAACATAACAATAAAAAAATTAAAAAAAAAATCTTCTCACACGGCAGTGGGTTCTTCTTATCTCTCATTTTATTACACTGGCACTGAATTTATTTGAACAAATCTGTACACAAAACAAAAAGTGAAGGGCCATATGTTCCCACAGTAAGACACCGATTTTCCCTTGCTGCAAAGCTATCTTGAAATAAGACCCCTGGCTCGGACCGGCTCTTTCAGTCCTTGCTGCTGAAAGTCCTGGTGGAAGCTTTTTGGGGAAACTTGACAGCAGATATCAAGCTGGTCACTGCCTGTCACTGAAGAAGTCCACTTCTGGGAATATGTCCTGAGAGGATAATCATCCTATATTTGGTAAGAGCTTCATGCATAAAGGTGCTCATCAAACAGTTATGTGTAAGAACTAAAAAAAAAAAACAAAGGAAACAAACTAAATGTCCCTCAATAAAAATTCTAACTGCTGTCCATTCCCTCCCCATATTAACATTTATGTTGCCACAGACTATTTAGGAAGAGGTTACAAATGCATGGGGAGAAATTGGTCTATGTGGCAATGTTGAGGCAAAGAGCACAGGAAGAATAAATACCAATAACAACAATGGCAGTGGATGTTGACGGTCTCCCGTGCCCAGGCAAGCACTGTTCTGAGCACTTAACCAAACAGCCTCTTTTAATCCTCAAAATCACACCACAGGATATGCACGCTGTCACCTCCCTCTCACAGATACGGAAACTGAGGCTCAGGGCTAGGAAGTGCCAAGACACACGGCTGTGAGCAGGAAGTCAGAATTAGAACCCAGCTCTGTGAGCAAAAACCTCACCAAATATGGACTGGACCCCTTTCTTCGCCCACATTCAGGCCCTCCTCCCACACCCTCCCACCCCAGCCCTGGCCTCTGGTACCCACCTAGTGCCAGACTCCAGAAATCAGACAGAAGCAGGTCCTCCCTGTTAAGAGAAAGAGGCGCGGTCATCTCCCAACCTTCTCCAGGCCGCCCCCTCAGTGACCCTGCTCCTGACCACGAGCTGGATATCGGGAGGATGGAGCGGCCTCACACACAGGGCTCACAGTGCCAGCCCTGGGGTGGCAGGAGCAGGGTCCACGGTGCGCGTGTCCAGAGCCAGCGCAGTATGGCCCGTGCTCACAGAGGGCAGAAGGGTTGCTAGAGGATGTCCTGATTCCCAAGGACCCCTCTGGGTCTCTTCTGTATCCTTGGCCCACACCACGACCTGGCACAGAGGCTGAGCTCCATAGATAGTTGCTACATGCACAGATTGAGCCTCTCTGAGCTTTGGTTTCCTCACCTCTAGAATGGAGAACAGGATCGTCCCTCTCACGCAGGGTTACAGAAGGGATCCAGTGGGTCAAGACGCAAAATGACCTCACACATAGCAGGGACTCAATAAACAGTCTTTGTTATTACAAATAACTCCAAGGTGAAAGTAAAAGGAGAGACGAAACCAGTGTCTGGGTTTCTTTATTCAAGTCAACGGGCTTATGCAAACCCAGAGCAGAACACAGTCGACAGTGATTTAAAACGTACTTGGTGAAATGTCCAATCAAAAGACATACAGTGGCTGAAAACACAATACCCATCCATGTGCTGCCCACAAACGACTCACTTTGGACCTACGGACAACACCGACCAAAAGTGATGGGACAGAAAAGATGTTCTGCGCAAGTGGGAACCAAGACAGAGCTGGAAGAGCTATAATCAGACAAAATAGAATTCAACGCTGTTTAAACACATACCAACATTTGTGAGACGCAGCAAAAGTGGTCCTAAGAGGGAAGTTTATAGCGATACAGGCCTGCCTCAAGAAGAAAGAGAAGTCCCAAACACACACACTAACGTGACACCCTGTGACCTAGAAAAAGAACAAATGAAGCCCAAAGTCAGTAGAAGGAGGGAAAGAACAATCAGAGCAGAAATAAATGAAAGAGGGACCAAAAAAAAGAGAAAAGATCAGGGCGCCTGGGTGGCTCAGTTGATTAAGTGTCCAACTGTTGATTTTGGCTCAGGTTATGATCTCAGGGTCTTGAGATCGAGCCCTGCATCAAGCTCTGCACTCAGCGTGGAGTCTGCTTGAGATTCTCTCTCTCCCTCTGCCTCTGCCCCTGTGTGCGTGTTCTCGCTCTCTCGCAAATAAATAAATCAATCTAAAAAAAAAAAAAAACCACAAAATTGACATACCTTTAGCTATACACACCAAGAAAACAAAAGAGGGGACTTAAAATCAGAAATGACAGAGGAGATATGACAACAGACACCACAAAAAACCAAAAGCTCAAAGGGACTACTGTGAACAGTACACAGCAACAATGTGGACAACCTCAAAGAATCAGCAATTTATTTATTTCTATGCTTCAAGTTTTTATTTCTAGTTAGTTGGGGCACCTGGGTGGCTTAGTCGGTTGAGTGTCCGACTCTTGGTTTCGGCTCAGGTCATGATCTCAGGGTCCTGGGACTGAGCCCCGTGTTGGGCTCCAAGCTCAGCAAGGAGTCTGCTTGAGACTCTCTCTCTCCTCCTCTCCCTCTGCCTCTCCCACTCGTGCTGTCTCTCTCATATAAGTAAATACGATCTTATAAATAAATAAATAAATTCTCATCAGTGACATACACAGTGTAATATTAGCCTCAGGAATAGAATTCGGTGCTTCAACACTTACATAACTGATGACCCAGCGCTCATCATATCAGCAATTTAAAACCTCCCAAAAAACCAAGTTCCAGGACCAGACGCCTTTAATGGTGAATTCTACCATTCAGGGAAGAATTCATACCAATCCTTCTCAAACTTTTGCAAAAAACGGAAGAGAAAGCTTCCAAACTCATTTGCTGAGGCCAACATTACCCTGATACCAAAACCAGACAAGGATACCCCAAGAAAAGAAAACTACAGGCCAATATCCCTGATGAACATAGATGCAAAAATGTTCAACAAAATACTAGCAAACCAAGTTCACCAATACGCTGAAAGGATCATATACTATGATCAAGTGCGATTTATTCCAGAAATGCAAGGATGGTTCACACGTGCACATCAATCAAAGTGATAAATCACATAAACAAAATGAAGAATAAAATGATGCGATCATCTTGAGAGATGCAGAGAAAGCATTTGACAAAATTTAATATCCATTCATGATCAAAATTCTCAACAGAGTGGGTAGAGCAGAACATACCTTAACATGATAAAGGCCACATATGACAAGCCCACAGATAACATCACATCCAATAGTGAAAAGGTTCAGCTGTTACTATTTCCTCTAAGAGTCTCTAAGTTAGGAACTTTGCTAATCTTTCCTAGCCATTTTTATTCAACATAGTATTAGAAATCCTAGGCAGAGCAATTACGCAAGAAAAATAAAAAGGCATCTAAATTGGAAAGAGGTAAAACTGTCACTATTTGCAGATGACAGTATATAAGGAAAACCTTAAAGACTCCACTGAAAAACTGTTTGAACTAATGATTGAATTCAGTAAAGGTATAGGATACAATATCAATACACAAAAATCTGTTGTGTTTCTATACACTAATAACGAACTATCAGAAAATGAAATTAGGAAGATGATCCCACCTGAAGTTGCATCAAAAAAAGAATAAAATACCCAGGAATAAACTTCACCAAGGAGGTGAAAGCCTATTTACTGAAGACTATAAGAAGTTAAGGAAAGAAACTGAAGACAACATATGTAAATGGACAGACATTCCATGCTCATGGCTTAGAAGAATTAATAGTGTTAGGTTGTCCATAGTTCCCCAAACCATCTACAGATTCAATGCAATTTCTATCAAAATTCTAATTCCATTTTTCACAGAAATAGAAAGGATCCAAAAATTTGTATGAAGCCACCAAAGACTGAGTAGCCAGAGCAATCTAGAGAAGGAAGAACAATGCTAAAGGCATCACTCACTGATTACAAAGCTAGAGGAATCAAAGCCATCTAGTACTGGCATAAAACCAGACACCCAGATCATCAGCACTGAAGAGAGAGCCCAGAAGGAAACCCACACCTCTATGGTCCAGTGCCTTATGACCAAGGAGCCAAGAATATACAGGCGGAAGGAACAGTCTCTTTAATAAATGGTGCTGAGAAAACTGGACAGTCACATGCAAAAGAATGAAACTGCACCAGTATCTTACACCATACACAAAAATTAACTCAAAATGGATTCAAGGCTTGAATATAAGACCTGAAACCATCAAACTCTTAGCAGAAAACATAGGGGAAAAGCGACTTGACACAGGTCTTGGTAGTGATTTTTTTAACCTGATACCAAAAGTAAAAGCAATAAAGAAAAGTATGGGACTACATCAAACTAAAAAGCTTCCAAACAGCAAAGGAAACCATCAACAAAATAAAAACGCAACCTACTGTATGGGAAAACACTTGCAAATCATGTATCTGATAAAGGGTTAATATCCAAAATACAAAGAACTCATGCAAACAGCAAAACAAAGCAAAACCAAACCAAAAAACAACAAAAAACCCACACAAACAATAATTTAAAAATGGGCAGATCCAAATAGACATTTTTCTAAAGAAGACATACAGATGGTCAACTCGAACATGAGAAGATGCTCAACGTCATTAATCATCAGGGAAATGCAAATCAAAAGCACAATGAGACACCACTTCACACCTGTTAGAATGGCCATTATCAAAAAGATAAGAAATAACAAGTGTTGTTGAAGATGTGGAGAAGAGGAAAACCCTTGTGCACTGCTAGTGGGAGTGTAAATTGGTGCAGCCACTATGGAAAACAGTATAGAAGTTCCTCAAAAAAATTAAAAATAGAACGACCAGGTGATCCAGCAATTCCCCTTCTATTTATCTGAGGAAAATGAGAACACTAACTCAAAACGGTGTATGCACCCCTTTGTTCACTGCAGGGTTATTTACAACAATGAAAATAATAGAAACAACCTAAGTGCCCACCAGTGGATGAAGGGATAAAGAAATTGTGGTAGATACACACAATGGAATACTACTCAGCCATAATAAGAATGAAATCTTTCCATTTCCAACATGGATGGACCTTGAAGGCATTATGCTAAGTAAGTAAAAGAGGCCAAACTGAGAAAGACAAATACCATAACCCACTTAGACGTGGAACCTTAAAACAAACAAAACAAAAACAAAAAACTGAGCCCATAGATAGAACAGATGGGTGACTGCCAGAGGTAGGGGGTTGGAGGTGGGAGAAATGGGTGAAGGGATCAAAAGTAAAAAGAAAATAAGCCCAATTATAGCATCTTTTTTTTTTTTTAATTAAGTCAGCTGTACCCCCAACGTGGCTCAAACTCATAACCCTGAGATCAAGAGTCACATGCTCCACTGACAGAGCCAGCCAGGTGCCCTGAATACTAGCATCTTCCGATGCTCAGTGTTCTGAGAAAGGCTAAAGTAATTTAATCTATGATATTCTGAGGGATATGTATATATTTGGTAAACTTAAAAAAGAAAGAACAGACTTCAGAGTCACACACTCAGGTCTGTATCTGGTTCTAATATTTACTATGACATTGAGCGAGTTACTTCTTTTTTTAAAATTTGATTTATTTATTTGACAGAGAGAGCAAGAGCGAGCGAGCACAAGCAGGGGGAGGGATAGAGGGAGAGGGAAAAACAGACTCTCCGCTGAGCAGGGAGCCCGACATGGGGCTCCTGGGATATGACCTGAGCCGAAGACAGATGCTTCAATGCCTGAGCCACCCAGGTGCCCCTACTTAGCCTCTTTTGTGCCTTGTTTCCCCAACTCCAAGGATAATACGAATATTTACTTCTAGCATAGCTTTTATTTTTAAAAGTTTTTAAGAATAGTTTTTAGAATTAAATGAGATAGAGGTCACTTAGAATAGTAGCTACAACAGTAAGCCCTCAATAGATACTACTTTTTAAAAAAAAATCTTATTCTGGGGGCGCCTGGGTCGCTCAGGC